TACACCAATGTCTCCCAGAGTTTCCCCAGTGTTTTCTAGGAGCAGTTTTATAGTTTGAGGCCTTAGGTTTAGATCCTTGATCCACCTTGACTTGAATTTTGTTAAAGGTGAGAGGTAAGGCTTCAGATGCATCTTTCCGCAGGTGGAAATCCAGTTTTTCCAGCACCATTTCCTGAAGAGGTTTTCCTTTTCCCACTGAACACTCAACTGATTTTTGAAAACTGCCTCTCCTTTACTACCCCTGGGTCTGGGAGGCATGTTCCCAGTGCGCCCCCTGGTGGTCCCATCCCTGCAGGGGTTTTGTGCAAGGGCTGCCTTGAGGTCCCCTCACTGTGTCTCTTGCACAAAAATACATGGCCGTGTCCTCGGGGATCAGGCTGCGCAGACTCAGATAACTTTGGCTCTTGGAAGTGTCCCTGGAGATGCTGGCTCTGGATTTCAGGGCTGGGTTATAATCTGTGCTTCCACCACTCCATATCTCTCCAACCCACTCCAGTCCCTTTCCTGGAGCCTGGCGGACCCAGTGCATATGATAGCTTGTCAAAGAGAATCCTGAGACAGTGCAGGTGAGGGACAGCGTCTCTGAGGGCTTCACCAGGCCAGGCCCCGACTCCTGCAGCTGCACCTGGGACAGGACACCTGGGGACAGGACAGCAGTCAGTCAGACACACCCTCCGCACATGCCCAGGCCCTGCCCTGACTCCCTGAGAACTCACCGCAGGGAGCGGCCAGTAGGCAGAGGAGCAGCCCCAGGACCTCCATGCTCCAAGGGCTCCTGGTGAGGAGGAGACAGGGCTCCTGGGCCCAGGACTGGGCTTTCATCCTGAGACTGGGGCCTGCTTTGCATGAGGGAGGGCCCTGGGGGTATAAGTGGGGGAGCAGGGAGGGTCTCTGAGTCCTTCCCCAGGGCCGAGAGTTCTCCCCGTGCTGCTCAGAGGAGCTGGGAGACAGACCCTCAGGGCCTCACGTCACGTGTGACCTGCTTTTCCAGGGACACAGGAATTGCTGGGGTAGAGGGGACAGGTTTGGGCTCAGAGTCTGCAGCAATGCTTGACGTGACTCTGGGCTCGTTGGGATAAAGGGGTTTATGACGGTTCTCTCTCATTCGTCTCAGTCCCATGTGAGGGGGACGAGGCTGGTGGTCAGCTCTGCCCAGCTCCTCCGCACTTGGGCTCTGTCAGTGCACACGGGGCAGCTGGGCCTCCTTATGACACGGCAGTCGGCCTCTTCCTAAAGGGACCTCATCAGGGGACACAAACATGCAGTGCCCGTCAGGCTAGTCACACGTCACCTCTTTCTCACACACAGACACACGTGCACACACACATGCATACACACGTCTGTCCTCTCTGAGAAGCTACCCCCTGGAGCCAGACCTGTAAGGATACATTGCCCCTGTGGTGACAGACACGCCTGTGTGCTGTGACAGGGGCATGGTGGAGCTGCCACTGCTCTCCG